TAAGTAGGACTTTCCACATGAGTAAGAGCTACTTATTGTGAGGTTTCAGAGTAGCAGCCGTGTTAGTCTGTATCTGCAAAAAGAAAAGGAGTATTTGTGGGACCTTAGAGACTAACAAATGTATTAGTCTCTAAGGTGCCACAAGTACTCCTTTTCTTTTCACTTATTGTGAGTAAGCATTTCAGAATCTGGACCTGAGATAGCAACAGTGTGTATTCATACATAACTGGGTGCTATTAAATTAAATAAGACAGACAGGTGTTATGCTAAGTAAAATAAAAGAATGGGAGCTGGAAGGATCCTGGATTCTAATGGGGACTGAGTCTCATGTAACCCCATGTGTAACACAGTCTGTAGATCAACTCTATAGGCCAGTTATACCTGTAGGTTGTATTCCAGAGCTTAGCATTCACCCTGTTCCTTCCCTCACCCACCAGCCTTTATACACCCTTTGAACTCTACTGCAATAATAATCTGCTACCCATTAAGCCACTTAATTATAGTGGTTTTAACCTCAGTTCACTGTACTGCTAGCTGTGTTTACTGGACAAGTCTCTGGGTCGCTCTTCTTTCACTCAGGATAGTTAGAAAAGCAAACACTGCATAAAAATTGAGTTTTCTTGGGTAAATGAATTACTTCAAGCCCTCTGGATATGCTATGATCTATGTTACCTGTGTGAGGAGAGAATTAAGTCCTCAGAGTAAACTGATATTTACAATACATAATAATTTTGTTGTAATGGTATTAGATTATCTACATAGTTCCAGTAGTGAGCTAGGTGCTGTGCATGATGATTGTCTGTTTCTTTTCACACTATGGAAATTACAATGTTGAAAGTGTTGCAACAGGTATCTGTATATTTCCTAATCGATAAAGCGTCAGTAGATGGTGTTCCAGAGTGTGGAGCATACTTCCTAGGCTTTGTAGGACCGATAAAACTTGTTGTGCAGTACAAATGGTTCCCTGTGTGTAGTTTGCTATATGGAGCTCTTAATAAACATATTTAATACAGTTGGTCTGAGATTTTTTTGACAAAATGAAAATTTTGTTTTCACCAAAATTTCAAAGTTTTTAGACAAAAACTAAAAGATTTTAGCTGAAAATGGATTTGGCCAAAATACTTGTATGAAAACTGAAATTTTCCATGCAAAGCAGACACTTTTAATGAAAAATGTTTAGTTGAAAACCCAATTTTTTGTCAAAGCAGTTTCAATAGAAAATTTTTCACCAGCCGTAATATTTACAAAAGCATAAAGAATTAAACAGTTAAATCATAAATGTTGTCAGATTTTTTGCAGTTACAAGGTTTTGACTGTACATTCTTCAGAAAATCCTAATTTAGGGCTTTGGGACTAATGGATGCAATAAGAATCCTAGAAACTGAACCAATACATATGTTGAGTTGTGTTTTGAGTCACATTCTTCAGTGCATCTGAAGGTTCCAATTAGTTGATCGAAAACATTTTAAAAAAATTCTCAAATTTTGAAAATGTTTTCGTTTAGAAGTTTCCAAAAATTATTTATTTTCAATTTTGGGGGGAAATCCTTTACTACAAATGTCTCTCTTCCCCCCCCCCACCTTTTTTCCTTTTCCAATTTTGCCACTGAAAAAGGGGATGGAAAGGAAAAATGGGGAGGCGGGGGGGGTGCTTTGGCTTTCATTGGGAAAAAATGAGAAATTCACATGAAAAATGTTAATGAAATTTTTATTTTTCAAAAGGCTGTTTTACAACAAAAGCCTATTTTGTTCAAATATTTCCAACTAGCTCTCATTGCGGTGCTGAGAAAACTGCTTGTAGCTTTGTGTTTTCAAGGTGTTTTTTTTGACATCATTTGCTCCCAGGTCAGTGGTGGGCTAGTCAGGGGATATCTGGAAAATTCTAGTTGTGGGTGGTTATAGGTTAAGATGTTATGTGGAACTCTGATACTGCTTCAGTTGTACATGTGTGCTGAAGTAGTTGTACATTACTTCCTGAAACCTTAAAAAAAAAAAAAATTTTGGGACTGAAACGAAGGACGGGAGACTTCAACCCCAAAACAGTTTTTCCACGCAGATTTCTAGAAAAATTCTGACTCCATAATGCTTCCTGTCCTCCTTTTCTCTGCAGCAAGGTTATTGTTGTCTGTAATATCCAGTACTATCAGCCACATCTCTCTGAACTGTCTGGTTGTCATGAAGAATATATGTCCTTCTCTTAAAATGCCCATTTTTAAGAACTTCAGGTGCAGAGAAACATAAGAATAACCATACTGGATCAGATCAATGGCCCCTCTAGACTAGTATTTGTATCATACACTTCAAAGGAAGAAATAAAATCCCCACCATGGACAGTTATGCATTAGAACACTCTTAGATGGAAATTTGTTCTCAATCCTACATAACTAGTGGTTGATTTATAACCTAAAGCATGATGGTTGATAGTCCTTATAAATTTTCCTATCAAACACAACCCCAGATAGCCTTGATATTTACAGAAGAACAAGATTTTCAAAAGTGACCAGTGATTTTAGTTCCTGGGTGCCCAAGTTGAGGCACTTTAACTGAGCTTGATTTTTTCAGAGATCCTGAGCACCTATACTCTGAATATCAGGCTTTTTAAAAGTGACTCAAATTGGGCACCCTGAAATGGAGACACTACAAATTAGTCACTTTTGAAAACTGAAGCAACAATGTTCAAACCTTTTATGAATTCTACTATACACTTTTTGCCTCAATAATATCCTTTGGCAGTGAGTTCCACATAATTGTTGTTTTTTTTAACGTTGCAGCTCCCATTTGATTCCCATTTGATTTGATATTTTTGAACTCACGCACTTACATAGACAATTCCTTTTGTTGTGAAGAAAAGCCGGTCAGATCATATGTAGCTGACTAGTGAGGAAAAATGCAAATGTCTGCCTGATCCTTTTGTATTAAAATAATAACACTACTTAACACTTGCATAGTTCTTTGCATGTTCAAAGCACTTGACAAACATTAACCAGTTAATCCTCACAACAGCACTCTGTTATATTTAGCTTACAATTAGGATTGTATTGAAAACTGCCTACCAGCTCCACTAATTATCTGTTGAAAACTAAATTGTCTTGCATCGGCTATAGGTGCTCATTTGCAGCAATGTTTTGCATAATTCATTTGGCTTCCCATCCTCTACTAAGGAGATTTCTTCAATGCTGTTGCTGCTGCCTATACCCTGATATGCTAATTAGCAATAACACATCTTTTTGGTCACTTTGGTAAACAAGCAAGTAAGGCTATAGGTTCATCTACATCCTACGGGAGGGGTTAACGCAAAGCTTTTCAATGAATGTCTGTAATTTGTAGTACACAAGTTGCACCAATAGCGTGCACACAAAATGTCTGTTTTGTCTTCAGTTCGCATTGTGTGAATGCATGGTCAGTCTGCTGTGAACTGAAGGAGTAGAGTTCTTGGGGGGGCATCACATGGTCCTTTGCTTTGTGGTTGAGCAGTGAGCATCATGGGATTTCTTTTTCTGTGAGTCGTGGGATGTAGTGTGGACGCCAGACAGGCTAAAAAAAATGTCAAAACCCTGGTTTCCACTGTGTCTCTCCCATGCTTCATTTCTGGGCTTTCTGTCTGCCAGCATAGTGCACTGTGCCACTATGGTGGCAAGCATGAATACACAGAGGCTGCTTGGGCTGTATTACAAATCCAGACACATATTCAGCATTGGACTTGACAGTGCAGGTGCTACTCCAGGGAGAATTCTGCGCCAAAAAAAAATTAAAAATTCTGTGCATCATATTTTAAAATTCTGCATATTTTGTCAAAATAACAATTGAAACTGGTGTGATTGTATTATTTTGGTAATTTGTTTCAAAATACCCATCAGCAAGTATGTCTGTAACAATAGACAATGAAAAAGATTCAGGACATGTTTTGTTTGGTTTTTTTAGACAAATAGATTCCTTACTAGGCATATTAATACACTACTCTGAGTAGTAATTCATTTAAACTACATTACAGAAATGTATTTCCTACAGCCCTCAGAAGCAGTACAAAGCCTTGTGGGAGTCAGGGGTAATGGAGGAACTGACGGAGAGGGAAGTAATTGCTGTGAAGAAGCCTAGGAGTGAACCTCAAGGGTTGTTGGGTGTGGATGGGAGAAGTATGGAACAGATGTTTCTGGAGGGCAGGGAGGGATTGTTAGGGAGCCGCCCCCATGCAGCCCCTGGCTGACCCCAGCCTCTCCCATTCAGTCAGGCACATCTGCCCTTGTCCCCATGTGTCCCTGCACCCCACTCCCCATGTGTCCCCATGTCCCCACTCAGCCACTCGCTTCTCCCCTCTCTTGGCAGTTTACTTAAATGGTATCTGAATCAATTGCACTGTCCAGCAAGATGAAGCTTCTCAAAACAAGAAGCCACTGGAAATGTGACCAGTGCTGTGCTTGAAAGCAACTTCAGGGATATACTATTGGCTGAAGTACTGTTTCGTCTAGATTGGTGTACAAGTCAGCAAACCATTTAGGGCTGGAATAACTTCCCTCATTGTTTTGATGTGCTGCACATATAACTTTGACATTAAATTGCATTAGTCTGTTGCACCTGGCAGAGATTTTTTTTTTTTTTTTGAAAGACCGAGGCTAGCATGGTGTTTACATTTTAAAAATAGGTGTCACCATAATGTAGGTCATTTCACCGAGGAATCAAATCTATAATAAATGATATAACATTCACCACTGCCAAATTATAAGAGTTAGAGGGAAATAGCAAAATACCTTCAATTATAAAGTAAAATTAGTTTATAACCAGTTGTACTCTGTCCTGGTAATCAGATTTTCTATTTAGAGGAAAAAATTCAGACCTACTGGCTACCCTAAATGCTCTTAAATTACAGAGATGTTTGTGCATGGTTTTTAATCTCAAAATTGATCAGGATGCTACAAAAATTACCTGCAGCAGTACTAGAAGTTAAAGAAACAGTAATTTTTAAAGTGCAAATTCTCATTTCTCCATGACATATTCAGAGAACCTGATCTGAGCGGAACCTGTGTACATCCATGGTTGCAGTGAAGGGGCACAGCATTTGGGAGGGCCTCTGCACATGGTCTGCCCTGCCTATGCACCCTACACATCAGTCCTACACTAGAGCTTCAAGTGCTTGGTTCTCAGGCTCAAAGATGAAGAGAGTAGTAACAACTTTTCTGGAAGGTAGGACACTTATTTCTTATGGCAGGTCTTCCAGGGGTCCCGCAGTGTCTGAGGTCCTATCCTCTGAGGAGCAATATAGTACAGCAATTGGGAACTTGTGGCTCTAAAACTCTGTCTAGAGGAATCCCAACGATCTCCTATTTCCATTAGATGTATTACAAAGAATGGAAGAAAATAAGAAGGTGTGTTTAACCCTGCTAATGAGACATGCAAGCAAATGGTTAGCTTTGAACAGTGTTGGAGGAGCAAATATTGAAGAGGGATATTAAATTATGGATTTGGAGAAAATAATCCTATTTTAATTTCAGCTGTAATTTGATTGTCTGCTCTCAATTTTCTGCTTGGTTGCAAAGGGCCCTGTTTGAACAAAGAGCAATTAAATAGTACAAATGAGGAGGTGAATAATAGTTGGAAACACTTGTTAATTAGCAGAGGGATGCTGATTAGTGTGCAACTGTGAGCATGAAACCTTTTATCGAATTTGTTGAAGAGCAGATTGCTCATATAAATAAGGCATAAAGTTAAGTCATATTCAAATTCCTTAGCTTTACTTGCTCTTGACAGGACACTTCTGAAAATCTTCTACTTTTGCACACCATTGATTTCCCAATTGCATGCGTGAAATGCACTGTTAGAAAATCCATCTGAAAAAAGGGCTTGTGCAAATTACAGTAATAATTAACTATCTACTTTACCTAGTTTTAGGTTAACCTATACCCATGGAGTCCCAGATCAGTGGTGAAGTAATCCTGGAAATCTCCTCCTTTTAATTTAGACCTTCTTCTTGGCTATTGATCACTTTATAACTCATGGAATAAGTCAAAGGAACACGTGGCAAATAATAATAAAAGTCTATCAACTTGAGTCACAAATTTATTGGAAAACTTAGCCATTGCCATTGTGTATATAACAGTAGTTAGTTCTTCATGGATGTGGGCCTTTCATTGGAGTTATATTACCTTTCTGGGATGTTACTGTTGGGGACACTGGGGCATGGCCACTAGGTAACTCAAGGGGATGGAAGACCATGAGTGTCGATGAAGCCCCCTCGCACTAGGCCCCGGTGTCCTTGGCCCCCCCTCCCACCTGGAGGCACTCGCAGCAGCTCTGCGTACTAGGCCCGAGTGTCCTTGGGCCCCCCCGCCTGGAGGCGCACACAGCAGTTATGCTGAGAATGTGCAACAATATGCTGCAGAGTCAGACTGCCTGAAACTAAGCAAGGCCACGCAGGGCAGATATGGAAGAACAATGCTGAATAAAGCAGCTTTATGTATAGTTTAACAAATGATACAGAGAACCAAGGAACTAGCTGGGAACTGGATTGGCTGGCTATATGGATACTTGGGGCAGCTTGCTATTGGATAAGTATGCTGGGAAAAAGGATGTATAAAAGCCTGTGTAACTTCTTGCTCTGTGTACAGGATTTGAGATTCAAATCTCCCTGTACCTATTTGAAGCTTCAAATAAACTTTTCTGCTTCTCCACCCCGTTGTGATTATTGGGTGTAGCACACCAGGTAACGAACCACTCCAGCTATTGTTCAGCCTCTTGGCACTGGGTGCCGGCAACAGCTTTTGGTGTCCCTGGGTGGGCCGGAGGCTGCAATTTAGCCTTGCCCGGACCCCTCCTGGAGGTCAAGGATTGCGGCGAGAACCAACGCCCAGTGCGCACCGGTGAGTTCACCGGTGCCTCAGTGGAGACATGATTTGATCGACCCCGGAAGGCACAACGGTGCAACGCAGTCATATAGTGGAGAAGCAGTTGTGGACTATGACGGTGAAGAACTGGTCCCTTAGATAAGGTAGGAACCTTTTGAAATCCGGATTGTATGCTCTGTTGGAACCTGGGGACGCCCAGAGTTACCGTGTAGGTATGGGACAGGGACAGAGCTCAGGGGTTAGGGCACGGTGTACGCCCCTACAGTGTATTCTAGCAAACTGGAAAGGTATTTGGTGCGGATCCGATGACTAAGAGCTAATTAAAACGATTCTGTACAGTTGACTGGCCTCAATATCAACTAGAGGACCAGGAGTGGTGGCCACCAGGAGGGTCAATTAATTACAACACGATCCTTCAGTTACTCCTGTTCTGTCAGAGAACAAGGAAATGGAATGAACATATGTATGCGCATTTGTTTCTGACTTTATGTACTCAACCAGATATTTTACAGCACTGTAATCTGACTCCGACTGGTTCGGTAGCAGCTAATGTTAGTCTCCAGACCCCCACCCCCACTGTAATGGCAGAGCTGGTGTCCCCTTCGGCCCCTACACCCCCACCTTATAAGGGTAGGATGCCTCGGGTTACAGAGATTGCCCCCTCGGTGGGACTCTATCCTTTGATTACCGAGACTGTTGTGGCTTGCCCAGGGGCAGACGGACGTCAGGCTACCACTATGCAAGTTTACACCCATGTGCCATTCAATCCAATAGACTTAGCAGCTTTTAAAACACAGGCTGGGGAATTCTCAACGAACCCAAGCAGGTTTATATCAGTCTTTGAGGGGTGCCTCAGTAGTCACATGCCAGATTGAGATGACTGTAATATCCTCCGGAGAACCCTGTTGTCTGCGGTAAAGGAATCAGGTTACAGCTAAGGCAAGGGGAGCGTCAGCTTTCAAGCGAAAGAAAGGAAGCTATCTGTCAAGTTCCTACCCCAAGTAACTGTAAGCGGCTCAGGGCATTTCTGGGTATGGCAGGCTTTTGCAGGATATGGATCCCAGAGTTTGGACTGTGGGCTAAACCCCTGTACAACTGTGTAAAAGGAGCAGATCATGACCCCTTCTATTGGACCCCAGAGGCTGACAGGGCATTTAAAATCCTGAAAAGAAAATTGATGGAAGCCCCGGCTCTGGGCCTGCTGGATCTCTCTAAGCCGTTTCAGTTGTATGTACATGAACGAAGGGGGGTGGCCCTAGGAGTGCTTACGCAGCTGTTAGGAGCATGGAGACGTCCCGTGGCTTATTTTTCTAAGCAACTGGATCAGGTTGCAAAGGGTTGGCCGGCATGTTTATGGGCGGTCGCAGCTACTGCCCTAGTGCTTGAGGAAGCCGAGATGCTAACATTGGGAGGGGTTATGCAAATCTATACTCCCCATATGGTCCGAGCCTTATTGGATGCAAAGGGAGGGCTTTGGCTCACCCAGGCTCGGATTGCTCGGTACCAGGCTAAGCTGTTAGAGAACTCTGAAGTCACCTTACAGCCTTGCCCCTCCCTTAACCCAGCCACTCTCTTGCCAGAAACAGAGGAACAGAAACATGACTGTTTAGAGATCATAGATGCCCAGTACTCCAGCCGTCCGAATTTAAAGGATGTACCCCTCCCAAATGCAGATTATGAGTGGTACACTGATGGTAGCAGTACTGTAATAGATGGGCAAAGGAGGGCGGGTTATGCTGTTGTGACCCTCCATGACACTGTGGAAGCTGAAGGTTTGCCCGCTGGGACCTCTGCCCAGCTTGCCGAACTAATAGCCCTGACCCGTGCACTTGAACTGTCAAAAGGAAAGTGGGTCAACATTTTTACTGATTCAAAGTATGCTTTTGGTGTGCTGCATGCTCATGCTGGCCTATGGAAGCAAAAGGGAATGCTGACAGCCCAAGGCTCCCCAGTCAAGTGCGGGCCCCAAATCCTCCAGTTCCTAGAAGCTGTACAACTTCCCTTGGAAGTGGCGGTGGTACACTGTAAAGCCAATCAAAGGGAAGATCAAGATGTGGCCAGAGGTAATGCTAGGGCAGATAGAGAGGCTAAGTATGCTGCCACCCTGCCATCCCCTCAGACTGAGAACGCCCATATGCATGCCCTTATCCCATCAGTAGGGGAGCTTCCAACACCTCAGTACTCTGGGGAGGAGAGACAGCTAACTGACAAACTCGGTCTCCGGGAAAAGGAGGGATGGCTCCATTCCCCAGAAGGGAAGGCCCTCTTACTAAAGGGCCTAATTCGGCCAGCGCTGCAGAAACTACATCAAACCACTCATGCTGGCAGGGAAGCACTTATCCAACTAATGGGAAAATACTTTATCACTTCTGGACTCTGACCCCTGGCTGCCCAGGTACAAGCGGACTGCTTAGTCTGCCAAAACAATAACCCCCGACTGGGACATCCTGTGCCACCAGCTGCCCTAGAACCCACTCCGGGCCCTGGACAAGTGTGACAAATAGACTTTACTGAGTTTCCCCGGACCCAAGGGTTCAAATATCTCCTTGTTATAGTGGATCTGTTCAACGGATGGCCAGAAGCCTTCCCATGCCGTCACTGCACTGCCAGAACAGTGGCCCTCAAGTTTGTTAAGGAGATCATTCCTCGCTTTGGACTCCCCCTCTGGATGGAGTCTGACAACAGGACACACTTCACGTCAAAAATCATTCAAAGCATCTCACATGCCTTACAGATCCCCTGGAAACTCCATACGCCCTGGAGACCGCAAGCCAGTGGTGTAGTGGAGCGTACCAATCAGACCCTTAAACAGCATCTCTCAAAAGTGTGCCAAGAATCCTCACTGCGATGGCCTGATGCTTTGCCCCTCGTCCTACTCCGTATCCGCGTTCTCCCAAAGGGTAGATTAGGGCTCAGTCCCTTTGAAATTATGTTTGGAAGGGCATGGCCTATGAATGGCGCCCTGGTTCTGTCAGGGGAATGGGAGTTGGGTAATGGTTTTTTGTCACAGTATATGTGTTCCCTGTCTGCTGTTCTCTTGTCTCTTCACAGGTATACCAAGGATTCCCAGCCTCTCCCCTTGGACACTCCCATCCACTCCTTACAGCCCGGTGACTCTGTGCTTGTTAGCACCTGGAAAGACGAGCCTCTCCAGGAGAAGTGGAAAGGACCCTATGCCGTCCTGCTGATCTCCCATACAGCGGCAAAGATCGAGGGACACAAGAACTGGATCCATCACTCTTGTCTGAAGGCAGTACCCGCCCCCTCGTCAGCAGAACAGTGGACCGTCCAACCTGCTGACTCCTCATCTAATGACGATCTCGGGCTAAAGCTACTGTTTAAAAGACACAAATAGCAGGCACCTTAATGCTAAAATGGACCCACCCAGGTACTGGAGACCCTGGGTTGGGAAGACTCTGGTGATAATTAATTGGGTAACATTGTTATTCTCTGTATTGGTATTTCCAAACTGTGCATATCGGGAGCATAACTCCTTTGTTTCGCTTGCGCACCATGTTGCTACTTTAACAAACCAGACTGATTGCTGGGTATGTGCTCCAACTCCACTGTCCCCCAAAACGGGAATGCCCCTTGACATGCTGCCCTTGACCCTAGCAGAATTAGCCACCACCAAAGAGCAGGAAAGAACGGACTCGCCGTTCTGGAATAAGACCTCTTTACAGCAGGCCACCTATCAGGCCCAGGAGTATTCAGTTGCAGTACTCACTGAGGGAGAGTTTTTATGTTTTACCTGAAACCAATCTGATCACTATGGGTGTCCAGTGGGGAAAAAGCTCCTGTGTTATTACACAGTGGGCTGATGGGTATTGGATAAAGACCAACAGGGGAGGCCAACAGTGTGGGTGTAATGGTTCCTCCCCTTTTAGGGAAACTCTTACAAATAATCTTACCACAAAAGAGGGGTTTGGAAATGTAACTTGCCGTCCAGTTAACATCTCCAATGTAGCAAGCCAGTGGTGGGTTTGTAGTGGTCCCTATGGCGAGTGTAATTTGAACGGCACAATTAGAAACGCCCCCATTTGTACCCAGTTAGGAGGATGGGATGCCCCCCTAGGGGCATATGAACTGTTTGGAAAAGCAGCCTTAAATATCCCAGGAATCCCCTTAAGAAACAGTCCTTACTGGGCCCTACAGGGTCACTATTTTGTATGTGGCTGAAAGGCTTACAAGGTGCTGCCAGCGAACTGGACAGATAGCTGTTATATAGCTCGTGGATTTCCTCATCTGTCAATAACTGCCACACTGCCCAAAGGAAAGATTAGAAATGCCCGAGACACCTCTGAGTCACGAGAAAAGACCCTGCGGTGACTGACTACGGCATTGGAGGGCAATATGAAGAATCCCCTCACAACCGAGAAGCTTGTAGGGTGCTCTGTACTGGGAATAGCGCCACTGGTTTCTGGGCCAGCCATGGCATGCATAGGCCGCTATACTATAAGGCTGCAGATGGTACTTGAGAAGGTGGCCTTAGAGTTAGAGGACTCGGTTAGTGATTTAGGGTCAGCAGTAAAAACATTAAATAAAGAGGTACAGCAGCTCAGGACGTTTTCCCTCCAAAACAGGCTGGCTTTGGACTATCTCTTGGCATCCCAAGGAGGGGTTTGTGCCCTCGTCGGGCACCGATGTTGTGTATATGTAAATGATAGCAGTTATGAGATCTATGAAAAGGTGGTACAGGCTGAGGCCCATGCCCGAGCCGGAGCACAGGTTGCCTATACTGCCCCAGAGAATGATTGGTTGCAAACCTTGTTTTCAGGCTGGGGTTTGTTGTCTTGGCTTGGTGGTTTATTTAGCCTGCTATTGAAAATTCTCTTTCCTGTATTGCTTGTATTACTGGTATTATGCTGTGCAGTCTCATGTGTCAGAGCCCTTTTGCAAAAGTTAATAAGTCATTCTCTTCAGGGCTATCACAAAGTGTTTATGCAAAGTCCTATTGTAAAGAAATAAGTAGCCCAAGTGAGAAAACTCAGAGCCAAGGTTGTTGAGTGTTCTCAAAGGGGGGAGTTGTTGGGGACACTGGGGCATGGCCACTAGGTAACTCAAGGGGATGGAAGACCACAAGTGTCGATGAAGCCCCCTCGCACTAGGCCCAGGTGTCCTTGGCCCCCCCTCCCGCCTGGAGGCACTCACAGCAGTTATGCTGAGAATGTGCAACAATATGCTGCAGAGTCAGACTGCCTGAAACTAAGCAAGGCCACACAGGGCAGATATGGAAGAACAATGCTGAATAAAGCAGCTTTATGTATAGTTTAACAAATGATACAGAGAACCAGGGAACTAGCTGGGAACTGGATTGGCTGGCTATATGGATACTTGGGGCAGCTTGCTATTGGATAAGTATGCTGGGGAAAAGGATGTATAAAAGCCTGTGTAACTTCCTGCTCTGTGTACAGGATTTGAGATTCAAATCTCCCTGTACCTGTTTGAAGCTTCAAATAAACTTTTCTGCTTCTCCACCCCGTTGTGATTATTGGGTGTAGCACACCGGGTAACGAACCACTCAAGCTGTTGTTCAGCCTCTCGGCACTGGGTGCCGGCAACATTACTGTGAAGGAGGAACTAGAAAGTCATGTTGCTGGAGCAGATTATTTTTTCTCTTATCACTGAGAAGTTTAGAGTAGTTGTTGTTTGTGGGCTCTAGTCCAGCTGGCTGCCTATAAGGGCGTATGAAACAAATACTGGAGCATTAAGCTTTTTCCAGCTGTTGAAAAAATATTGATAAGAGCATGCAGGCATCCTGCAGGCATCCTACAAGCCTTAGTGGGGCAACTGAGCATTTAAACATAATTATTTGTTTAGTGCTACCAGACACTTCAATCCACATTGTCATATGATCACAATTGTTATGGGTTACTGTTACTAACCTTGGACCAGAAGCTCAGGTGGCATAAAGGGGCTGAGCTCTGTCTTCAGTGGAGCTATGCTGACTTACACCTGAGGATCTGACCCTGTTTGTAATTGTGTTGAGGCCAGCAAATCTTTCCTTTTCACCCCATTCCTTCTGAAGATCTAATAGTCTCCCTCAAAATAGGCTTCTAAATGGTGTATTGAAAATATGAATGAATGGGTGCAAAGGGATAACTGGTGTGCAAAATATGCATGATACATGCAGAAAGGGTCTCTGGGCTGGTCTCACTGAGTCTGGTCAGAAGGCCACACGGGGAAGGGCCAGTGGAAGGGCTGTATATCAAAGTTTACACAATCAAGTGGCCTCAGTATCCCATACAACTGGCACAAAGAGGCTCTGGCAGTCCGCAAGCTGGAATAGCAGCCAGAGAGTCCAGCACAGCAGCTTTGCCCTGACCCGAGCCATTTTACACTCTACAACGTAGAACCCGAATACTAGGGCTCTATGCAGGCAGAGTAGATTTCACCTTCAGTGTGTAATTACGTTTGCTTCTGTATTAACATTCACAGCTTACGATCCTATATTTGAAAATACAGCACTTCCCATTTCAATGTGTGCTGTATGTAAAAGTGTGCAGCTATTTCTCATCATTTCTGTCCATGGCTATGGGTAGCTATATACTTGTCCAGATCCTCAGCTATGGCACAGTGCAACTCAGGAATGGATGTGGGGTATGGCACAAAGCTGGCTTTAAACTGCCTTTGTGCTTCCCCAGTCTTGGGCTGGCTGTGTGCTGGGACAGTTCTTTGGCAACAGGTAGAGCAGCCTGATGGCTGTTCTACTTTATGCCAGCTGCCACTGTTCCTAAAAGGCGGCTGATACAACAACTGGACGTCACTAGGGCTCTGGAAACTTAGGCTTGCCTCCATGCTGGCTGCTGGAATGAGTGTGCTGTAGGAGCTGCTGTCATTGAAGGATCCCCCTTCACTGGGCTGATACTCCTGGGGTTAGTTAATATCAGCTTTGGGATCCTTTTACACCAGCAATGTAGTGCAAACCAGCTGCAGCACAGAGGAGAAACTGACAGACAATGTATTTTTATCCAACTGGGTGTTTACTGAGGACTTTAGGAATTGCTATACTGGATCAGACCCAACGCCCATCTAGTCCAGTATTCGGTCTCTGGTGCTGGCCACTGTCCGATCTTTCAGAGGAAGCTGCAAGTAGGTAAATGTGGGATAAACTGTCCTCATGAAAGTTTCATCCTAATACCGGTAGTTAGAGATCATCTTAAACATTGAAACACAAAGCTTTATATGCCTTCACAAACTCTTGTCTTCAATCTTGCTAAACTCTTGGCCTCAATGGCAGCCTGTGGCAAGAAGTTCCTTTTATGTTGCTTCCATTACTATGGAACAAGTAGAGCCAGAATGACTTACTGGACACAATCCATCCAAATGTTCCTTTCCTCAACATTACAGCTACCAAACCATTCCTTTCTGGTTGCTTTTGTGCTCTCATTCTTGTATTCGACATACAGTTATTCTATTGGATCAAACAGTTAAGGAGGTGTGAAATGAAACATACCGGATTACTGATGATGTGGGTAAACTTGTCTCATAATCCTAGAGATCAGAGCATCAAATAACACATTACCTGAATATCACCGAGATTCAACAGCTAATACATTATTCCGGCAGTACCTGGCTAAAAAGTATCTAGTTCCCTATCTGCAGCTTTTGCATGCAGATGGAATGGATAGACAGAGATGAGCTGAAAGAGAAAACAGAACACCTTCAAGATTAGATCCTTGGAGATGCAGTTTCTGTTACTGGGGACTCCGCTTTCCAGGACTGACTGGAGGGCCTTCACCTTTGGAACTCAATTTCCATGACCCAGACCTGAATTTGGCTGTATTCAGGGCATATTAGGGCTTTTTTATTTAGTTGATCTTTAGATTGATTTTTTTTAATTGGTCACCATCGGAGCTGGGGAATTTTTAACATGAGCTGATTTTATTGGAGCCACTTGTTGACTTGATGCATGTTTTGAAGGTGTTTATAAAGTGTTTAACAATACTGATAGGAACTACAGAATGTATAATGTACAGGTACATGGAAAAAAATAAAAGTACCATTCTGGATGTACCTAAAATGACATTTTTTACTAGAGGGGGGAAAAGGAGTAATCTCCAGAGGAGAAGGAAAAATTCACCAAAGCCTTATCCCATGTACTGACCATACGAGAATACCAGGGTGCAGAGTGACTTCCTATTGGAGAACAGTGCTGTAGTAAAACATACCCACAATCTGAAAGGCAGCTGAAACTGTTGCTCTCAAGCAGAGGCAGCTGGCAGGCATGTGTAATTAAATTCCTGGCACACATTGTATGTTTTTATACTTTTCCTTTGGTCAGCAGATATTTGAGTGTGCAGATTCTCGAAACCCTTTGCATATTCTTTTAAATTTCGTTGAGTATTTGTTAGGAAAATCAGAATTGCTTGTTTTTCATTCTTTTACCATTCTTGTTCTCCTCCTCCAATGGATCTAAAGATGACAATTTTGCAAAGGAGGGCAGATGTAGATGAGGGGTTGAACGCACATCTGATCAAGTTGTGGAGTGAACAGGAACATTCCAGCTATATATAGAGCCCAGCTGGTATTCCTTTGTTTTGGAAGGAGAATATTGAAATCACTGAGGAGCTCCCCATGTCATCTGTAGTTTGATATTGGAATTTTTGAAACAATTAAGGAATTAGATTTCTAAATGGACGATCAGTCAAAATGTGCAGTGACCCGTAAATACGCAACGACACTTTAAAAGACCATGCAGAGGGTTTTGAGAATCTGCATACTTAAATATCTGCTGACCAAACAAAAAGTATAAAAACATACAATGTGTGCCAGGAATTTAATTACACATGCCTGCCAGCTGCCTGCTCCCTCTCTGCTTGAGAGCAATAATTTCAGTTGCATTTTGATTTCTAGATATGCCACTGCAATGGAGCAGCTGCTGTGGCTGAAGCTGATAAACATGTATGACATGTATAAGTGACATGTATAAGTTCAACAGAAGGTGAATGTTCTAAGGATCTCTTGACTTGCTGCATGGGTCAGACTTACAAAAAATGTTCTGATACCCCTACAACAGAACCCAAATGGCTAAATTCAGCTCTCACTCACACCAGTGTAGGCCTTGAATAATTCCAATGAAGCAACTGGAATAACTCTGGATTTACCCTAGTGTAAATCCAGCAGAATTTGTTTCAGATGCCTGCTCTGTAACTGTGGGAGGATGTGCTGTTTGTTGTGTGCTGTGACTGTTAATTAAGTCCTGAAAGAAATCACATAAGGCCAAATTCACCAGTGCAAATCTAGAGTAATTTCACAGACTTGAGTGGAGTTACTCCTGATCTATGCCTCATGTAAATCAAAACAGCATTTAGCCCTACGTGATTTTTGTGGGGAAATGTTCAGACCCTCAGAAAATGGGCATATGCAGTTAGTGTATGTTTTAGGAACCCATCTCAAAAAAATTGGTCTAAAATATTAACATACACTTTTCTAACTTGCCTACCTCCTTTGCTACCACTGAGTGGCAGCATGAACACAGTCCTGCAGTGAAATAATTTGTGACAAATGAAGCTCTGGAAGATCTGATGTAAGTAGTAACTATAATAGAACAGATCATTCCTTTCAGTTTCTGCACCCAGACTCTGAAAGGCATGGAGAACATATCAAACTAACAATGAAGGGACGGACTAGCTATTTTTCAAATAAAGAAAGGAAGCATACAACAGTAAAGTTTAAAATTGCTCCTTAATGTAACCCTTACAGTACGTACAAAGAGGAACTGACAGACTAACACTCTTGAGCCAATGCCTAGATACTACGAAGATGAGCATGTTAGAAATGCCTCAATAGATATTAGAAAGGTGCCATGAGGAAAAGTTTAGCAATGGATAGAGCTGAAGAAAAGAAGTACTTGAGTAATGTTTTCAGCCAGCCATGTGATTCTTTAAGGTAATGCTCTCTTCCAGCAATATAGATGCATGTAATCAATGGTTCTCAACCTATTGTGATTGGAATAACAGAGACTTGGTGGGATAACTCACATGACTGGAGTACTGTCATGGATGAATATAAACTGTTCAGGAAGGACAGGCAGGGCAGAAAAGGTGGGGGAGTTGCATTGTATGTAAGAGAGCAGTGTAACTGCTCAGAGCTCTGGTATGAAACTGCAGAAAAACCTGAGTGTCTCTGGATTAAGTTTAGAAGTGTGAGCAACAAGGGTGATGTCGTGGTGGGAGTCTGCTATATACCAGGGGATGAGGTGGACGAGGCTTTCTTCCGGCAACTAACGGAAGTTACTAGATCACAGGCCCTGGTTCTCATGGCAGACTTCAATCACCCTGATATCTGCTGGGAGAGCAATACAGCAGTGCACAGACAATCCAGGAAGTTTTTGGAAAGTGTAGGGGACAATTTCCTGGTGCAAGTGCTGGAGGAATTAGCTAGGGGCAGAGCTCTTCTTGACCTGCTGCTCACAAACTGGGAAGAATTAGTAGGGGAAGCAAAAGGGGATGGGAATCTGGGAGGCAGCGACATG